AATACAACTTGGATAGCCTCAACAATGAAACCACAAAGGCACTGTACAAAAAGCGACTCGATGAAAAGCTTTTACAAGAAAACTTTGATAGTGTTGAGCACTATTACAATTACATTAAACAATGTTTCAAAAGTGCAGCAAAAGAAGCCCTGGGTAAACATGAAAAACCGAAAGAAGGAAACCATATTGGTGGGATGAAGAAATCAAAGAAAAAATAAAGATTAAATATAGAAGAGCCCGAAGAAATGTACGAGGTGCGATAACTAATAACAAAAACGAAAGCTGGGAAAGAAACTGCTCCAGAATAAACACTTACTTGGGGGTAGCAGAAGCACTAAAAGCTGGAAAATACTTTAATCTCTTCGACAAGATAAGACTAAGGACATCATCTCACCGATCAGCCTAGATAAATGGGACGAATACTTCGCAAATCTACTGGCGGAAGAAAGAGCAGAATATTTGCAAACGCCTCAAATACAATTAGAGGTGCAAGCACATATAATAGCTTCCCCAATTAGGATTGACGACAAAGAAAGTAGCACGAGTATGCCAAGTATTAAAGAATAGAAAATCACCAGGCCCTGGCAATATCCCACCTGAGCTACTCAAGTATGGTACAAGCAAATCATATAAGCAGCTAGCCAACCTTTACCAAAAATGTTTTAACGGAGAGAGTATACCTGAGGAGTGGAGAACTTAGTTTATCACGACAATACATAAGAAGGGAAGTAAAGATGTACGTGATAATTATCGAGAAATCGCAGTACTTAGCACCATCTCGAGAGTTTACGGGAAACTCTTTAAAAAGAGAATGACTATTGACCTATTGACCATATGTTTACTGTTACCCAGCTAATCTAAAAAAAATAACACGAAATCAACCAATACATCTCACCTACGTGAACCTTAAAAAAGCTTATAATAGTGTGCCACAACAAAAATCTCTGGGAAGATCTCGAAAAAACAAATATTAGTGTAACCTTAATAAAGACTGTTCAAGACCTCTACAGGAACAACACAAATAAAATCAAGAAAGTCAGGAGGTATCCAAGGGTTTCACTATCAGCAAAGAACTCAAACAAGGATGCTGCGTGTCTCCTACTTTGTCTAAGATCTACTCGGAGCAAGCGATGAAGACGTGGAAAAGAAAATGGGAATGGGAAAACATGGAAATTCCTCTAAACGACGCAATATTGTACACATTAAGATTTGCAGATGACCAGATAATGATGGCCCAAGACTATGAAGACCTCGAATATATGACCCGCAAACTTATCGAAGAATACGAACTATAGGGGCTAGAAGTCAATATCAAGAAAACTAAATACACGTGTATTGGGGGAATTCGATAAATCTAATCTTGAAATAAATACAGCGAGAAATAAATCACTGTAAAAATACAAATATTTAGGCATGCAAATAACCAACGATGGCAAATGAGACGAAGAAAGTCAACATAGAAATAACCAGGAAAACAAGCCATTAGCAATTAAATAGTGTACTGTGGGACAAAACAATCTCCAAAGAAAACAAACACAAAATCTATCACATTACAAAAAGCATTGTTACATATGGAAGTGAGGTATGGCCACTGAAAAGGAAAAAACTTAACACTAAAAAAAAGCATTAGTAGCAACAGAAATGACCTCTTGAGAAGAGCGGCCGGAGAGGGGAGTTGAAGAAAACCTTTGGAAGAGATAAATGGAGACTGGAAATTAGAAGACGCGTAGAACGTTATAAACTGATTGATTGATTATTTAAAAATATTATTTAAAATACAGAAAACATGGTATGAAACTTTGCGCTAGTCTACAGTACCGCCTACGGTACCACTTTTCTTTTAAATACCTTCGTGTTATTTGTTAACAACTTGTAATTATCTTAATAAGTGTGATTTTGAAATTAAAAGTTATACGAGGTCTGGATATTAAATAACGAGACTGCGCACGCAGAAGGCGTCCTAGAGTGGAAGAGTGGGAAAGGAATGCATCATTGGATAGCTGGAAGTGTCTACTCTTCCAATACGAAAACACGTTTTTGTCGCTGTAGTAGTATTTTTTCTGTAGAGGTTAAAAAAGAACGTGTTTTTTCTCGTGCCGATAAAAATAAGTGACGAAAAGATGAGCAAACGGATTAATGTGATATTTCTCGTTAAATTAAAAAAACTTCGACAGTGCTATAATTTGTTGAAAGAGGCCTATGATGAGAATTCTCTATCTCGTGCGCGTGTTTTCGAATAGTATTATCGGTTTTCTGAGAGTCGAGAGAGCGCCGAATGTAACCAACGTCTAGGTCGACCTGTCTCTGTTTCAAATCCGCAAACAGTGACCAAAATAAAACGATTTTGTGCGGGGAGATCGTCGTCTGAGCATTCGGATGATTGCTGAGACTGTAAATGCCGATAAAGAAACTGTCAGAAAAATTTTAAATCACGAATTGAACATGAAGAAAGTCTGTGCGAAGTTGGTCCCAAAAAAATTGGCCCCTGACCAATAGCTCGTCCGTCAACAGATCTGCTCAGATTTTCTTGAGAGGTTACATGAAGAACCTGAATTAATGAAAAACATCATCACTTCCGATGAAATCTAGATATTCAAATACGATGTTGAAACTAAGCGACAATCCATGCACTGGAAAACTCATGCATCGCCAAGAATGAAAAAAGCAAGTATATCGAAATCAAAATTTAAAGCCATGCTAATCGTTTTTTTTCCACATTAACGGCATCGTTGATGACTGAATGGGTTCCAGAGGGTCAAACTGTAAACCAAACTTACTATTTAAAAGTTTTGGCAACGCTGCGAGAGCGAGTTTGTAAGAAACGGCCGGAGTTGTGGAAAAACAAGCCGTGGATCTTGCAACAGGACAACGCACCTGCCCATAACGCGCTGTCTGTGAAGCACTATTTAGCCGCTAGAGGCATTCCAGTGCTCGAACACCCGCCGTACTTCGCCTGATTTAGCACCCTGTGACTTTTTCCTGTTTCCGAAGATCAAGTCTGCATTAAAAAGAGTCCGGTTCTAGTAGATGGAAGAGGTGAAACGAAAAACGGAGGAGCTCATAAAAGCTCTAACAAAAGAAGACTTCCAGCATTGCTTTCACCAATGGAAAAAAACAAATGGAACGGTGTGTGGCGAGGGAAGGGAAATATATTGAAGGATAGTTTTCGATTGTAGAATAATTTTTAAAATAAAACTCTTTTTCATAAGCAGTCTCGTTATTTAATAGCTAGACTTCGTATATATATTTTTTTATTTTAACAAAAACAATTTATCTCAGCAAAACATTAATTAGTTATCCAGCATGGAGAGCAAAATAAATTGATCTTAATAGTAATTAAATATTTGATGTTTACTTCTTGCTTATTTGTTCAACTAATTTAGCATTCTTGTTAATAAGAAAAATATCGCGGCTGTAATTTAAGAAGTTCGGAATAAATGACAAAAACAGTTTGATATGTGGACTATGAAGGATTATTGATCGTGCAAAAATTTGCCGCAACTAGGAAAGAAAAAGCGGTTGTATCAGCAGGAGACGACAACTATGTTCTGGGATTTTCATTAAAAAAATACAAATATAACAATTAGCAGTAACTTCGCGACAAAATTAGAGAGACATGGTCTTTTTTAAAGATCATTTTTTCAATAACCTTCTTACAAGTCTGCGATCTACAATAGCAAAAATTGTCTACCATAACGTTCAAAACAATCGTTTTAGTACTACTACTTCTTCTCATTTCACCCTACATACAATCCGCCTTTATATGAACGAATTAACCGATTACTTCATAAATTTAGCATAACATTCTCGACAATATACCACTCTACCGAAAACCCTCCTCCCCCATGGACTGTAAATAAACCACTAGTGATCACTGATCTATCAAAATTTAATAAACGTGAATCCCCACTAGTCATATTAATAAGTCACTTCAAAGATATTATGGATAGATTTAGCGACTACCGACAGATCTACACAGATGCATCAAAAACAACGGACGGAGTGAGGGCAGCAATTTTCTCTGATACTCATAATGCTAAATTTAAGTTGCATAACGACTGGACTATCTCTAATTCAGAACTATACGCAAAAAATTAATTAACAAAACGAATCAAAGAAATTACACAATCATACTCAATGAATGCCTTTTGTGACATCCAGCAACGCTATTCATAAAGACATTTACAAGAACTTAAAAATGCTGCCAAAGAAAACAAACAGTGGTATTAATCTGGGTTCCATCTCATATTGTAGTACACGGTAACGAGGTTGATAGACTGAGTAGCTCACGAAACAGCGACATGTAATGTGGTCAAATTCAACTAAATAAAATAGCTCCAAGTGATCTTAAATTATGATTAAAAACATAGTTAGTTGTGTGTGACAAAACCAATGGTAGCAACCTTCCGAAAAACTAAGTCAAATTAAAGACAATGCTTTACACAAACAAGTCTTGAGACAGACAAACAAAAACGAGAAGTAAACTCAACCTTCCGATCGACATAGCTGAGCTTCTTAGACAATTATTCATCTAAACATCATAAAGTTTTTACGACTATAGGCATAAAAGATATTTAAATTAAAATCTAGTTTGTATCACAAATTATATCAATCTTCTTTCATGTTAGTATGTAATTAATATTGCAACCTTTCGTTGTTTTAATGTGTTTTTCCATTGTGTCATCTATAACCCCAGTGGTTCGGACGACATTAAATAAATAAAATAAAAAAAAATAGCAAAAATTCTGTAAGAAGTTAGTCTAATTCCGCAAATAGGTATTTCTACGATTCCAACTTCGAATAATTTATCTATTAGATATAAAATTCCTATGCAACGTGTTTTTTAGACCACGTAGAGCCTCATTTCTTGTATCTTTCGTTATTTCTAAATTCACGTACAATAATTATTTTACAAAAATGAAGGTATGTAGGTACACTGTATTTTATTCCAATGTTATAGTTTCACTTACAAAAAGCATAAAATCAATATCTAGACTTACTCTTTTACAAGGGTTCTCTTCGATCTCTGGCACGCCGGGAACCCCGGGAGGTGGCGACGTGACCAAGATCGGTTCCTGGATCGGTTTCATCGGTGGTGGCAGCTCCAACTCTTCGTCGGCATCTTCAGCTGCACCGCTGCCATTCGCTAATTCAGAACCGAGAGATTTGGCGCCTTTGAGCGCCTGGGTGGGTCGCTCTTCTTCCTCTTCGCCTTCGGAGACCGAGGGCTTGTTGCCCATTTCGGATGGCACCTGCAAAAAAAAAACAAAAGGTTAGTATTTTAAATATAAAATAATAAAATCAAATAGCGTATATAGAAAACGTAAGAGGAAATGTATTTTTTTAAATGTATAGACGAATGATTAGCTAGATAAAAGCTAAAATATATTCAAAATCTAACTTCCTAAAATGAAAACGTAGTTTTCCATTATAGTTGTAACACTTGGACGATATTTTTGATTTAGGATCAGTTAATCCATAGTTCCAGTTTCGGGAGGAGCGTTATACACCGGTAAGAGCGGTATAGTTGTTTAGAAAAAGAGGATAGGATAGGAAAATTATTTTACGATGTACTGAAATTTTGGTAAATGCGACTCTTGCCTTCCAAATTCATATCAGTATTTCAATCGAATGTTTCGATTGGTCATTTAAATTCGTACCCAAGTTTGTGAATTGCCGGCACAGTGTAAAATGTCAATGTCATTTTTTCCATTTTATATTTTCCCATTTTGCTATAATTTTTAAGAAGACATTATATAGAAGGGTGCTCCAGAAAATTCTCTTGGATTCGGTTTGCCCCAGCTTTGATAAGGGTATTTCAAAAAAAGCACTTTTTCGAGGCCGGTACTTTGCTGGTGATCCAGAATTGTTAATCTTATCGTTTTGTCTGCGACTGCGGGAAACATAAAGAAGATGCGGAGCGGATGTATATGTAACTCGCATCTTTCCCCTCAACTTACGACAAAAGACTCTAAACCTATTCCTAATTAACTTAACTATCAGTGGTTGGGGCTAACGTTACGAAGTCTACGTCTGTCCCCGCATGACCTTCAAAAATATCTGCTGACAATGCTGTCAAGTTCAGACAATATTCAGCAATAAACATATTTCGTCTAGAAAACAGTCTAAATTCCGCTAACAATGTACCTTTATGTGGTATTTTTATTGTTTACGGTTAAATGCTTTTACTGACGCCATAAAACGTATGGAGTTATTAAGCTCAATTATTTTCCCTGATTGAAGATTGCATATGTACAGAACCTGCCTGATCTAAATCCGTGCATCTAGAATTTTACTATTCTAGAAAATGAAGACTTTTGATTATGGTTGTTATTTTAGTTGTACGCTACGATTGAATCGGAAACTTTTTGCGTCAAGTCGTAGAATAACTGGGTAAACCTAATCCCGAGAAAACTTAATTTTTCTTTCAGCGCAGTATTCAGATTTTTGTCACAGAGCAATTGATTGAATTTTAAGAACGCTGCCCTTGCCATTTCTATTCGTACCCTGATCTCTTGGTCTGGATCTAATTCTGTGTTGATGTAAGCTCTCAGATATTTATATTTTGTCACCCTCACTATTTGCTGTCCACCAAGGGTTAGTTGTTCATTATTTATTGTACTCCTTGATACTATCATAAATTTGTTCTTATGTGTGTTGATGTCAAGTCCCAGTTGAATGCTTTCACTATTTATTGCATCTAGTAAAGTTTGTAGTTCTTCTATACTCTCAGTCATAATTACCGTGTCATCTGCAAAACTCATGGTTTAGCAGCTAAAAGCTTAATTTGATGGTACTAATCGTTTTTAAAAGTTAACTTAAAAATTTAAACATTTACTCTTTTTTCATTTATTTAAACACTTAAACATTTTAGTTTAAGAATGTTCTTGAAAATTACAGAATGCAAAAATTTCTCTTGAAAGATTTTCCATGGTTCCAGAAGCTCCTGGAACTCAATGGAATTATCTGGAAAATGTGGTAAATAGGTGAAGATCTTTCTGGAAATTTTGATAATCTAGAATGGATTCAGCACTCTGGAATTAAGTGTACCAATTAGGTCATCAGATTGACGTATATTATGACTATCACAGTATCAGACCAAAAGAATATAAGTGTACAATATGAAAGGAACTTCTTATGTGGAATATAACAATTTGATATCGAAAACTAGGAAAAGCCAAGTTAAAAACTAAAAATACTATCATGATATTTAAAAAAGTGCATATAAATGACTTATTTTTACTCAAAAAATCAAGAAAAACATAGATTATGTACTTAGAAGAAGAGAGAGAGAGAGAGAGAGAGAGAGAGAGAGAGAGAGAGAGAGGGGAAGGGATAAAGAATAGAAATACTTAGGAGTATTTCGTTTAAAATATCCCAGAAATTAAAAAACAGGCAAACAAATTCGAAAGGAACCCTAAAAACATATTACAGGGATAGATACAATGGTGTAGAGATTTAGTGAGAATAAGGAGGCTTAAGAAATATAATAATCGACTAGTTCCAAAAATACTAAAAAATGGATAATGATTGAATTTACAGAGGATAGGGAAGAGAAAGAACGAGAGTAAGAGATAGAAATTAGTAGAAATAAGATTTATATTACCTACTTCATATGTCGAAAGAATTATTTGCTACAAAAATTATCAGAGTATCATACTAATCAAAAACCAAGTAATAGCGGTTATTTTAAATATGAAATTTGTGAAAAAAGAAGCAAGGTGACATCCACATTGAAGCTAGAGAGCTAGAGACGATAGAAACATATAGCTTAAAGATGGAACCTTGAAAAAGTCGCATCTTTCGATATATATGAAATGAAAATTTTACATATTAATTTGAGATTTGGAATAATTTTCAGAGAAATTTATTGGAAAAAAATATGCGTTATGTAAAAAAGATATATAAATCAATGTACACTAGAAATGTTATTTACCAGACACATATCTTTATCATATTATAAAATAGATTAAAGTGGGATTCCCGTATTTAAGATCACAAAACTCTTATCTCTGGGTTTAGCTTTGTGGTATTTCATGTATATAATGATAATAATTGTTCTTTTTTTTAAACGACAATTATGTCACTAAAACGATTTTGAAACTTCGACGAAAAACCTGTGCAAATTTATTTATATCATTTAAATCTAACTTCCTGCAAGTAAATAACGAAATTATTATTAAAAACTATTAAATCTTAACTACTTCTCCAAATAATTAGAACAAATAGATAATACATAGAAAAATAGTCATAATAGACTATGTTCACCAATCAATAAATACATATGACGATAATCCGTACTCTACTATGACATTTTCACAAGATTCTCATTTTCTTTAGCGCTCATTGATCATGGTCATTCAAGGATGGTCTCAAGAGGATACTGATTGAATTTACATTCATACCACGAGATGTACTATCTACTATGTTATAAAACTTTGTTCTTAAAGGAATCATGAAAAGGTTACCAGGTAACCCAGGTGAAACTATGTTTAACCTAATGTTTAAAAACCTAGCTTAAGCAGATGATAAAAGGAAAATTGCAAGATCATTACTATACCTACAAGAATCTTACACAGCTCTAGAATACCATGCTGGGGAGGCAAGACTGAGTTTTCACAAACAACAAGTTCAAGCTCATATCAAGGAACCAAGCGGAAACACAAGATCAAAAAGTCATTATAAATAAACACAGGTACGTGACAGTTCTTCAAGTCTAGAGTTGTCAGTAGGAAACACAGATCTTGTACCTAAGCGTGATCCTAAGTAGTCATGTATGGAAGCGAGATATGGACTTTGTTCAGCAAGTATTAAGAAGCATCTCAGAAAGTGGAAGGAAAACTCCACACACAATTTACGGAACAATTAGAGACAGTGATGTCTGGGAGCTAAGGAGAAACCAGGAACTGCAGCTGTTGTTTGGAAAACCAACTGTTGTTTGAAATAAATAAAACGCGGATAAAGTGAGCTGATGACAATTTGGTAAACACAGTATTGCATTAGGTGTTCTTTTAGTTTGACGTGGATAGGATAACACATTTTAACTCGTTTTGTGTTGATATACTCTAAAGGCAAGTGGAAAAGGTACTATTAAAATATCCTAAAGCAACGTTGTTTGAGTACTAATTTAAAAACTATAATCACTTTCAAGCTGATACTGCAGAATTCTGCCTGGTCTTTTAAATACATACCTAAAGTTTTAAACCTTTTAATCGACGTACAGGCGACAGCAAATCTTTTGTACCAATGCTCCGAAAAGCTCAAATTTCAAAATTTTTGATAGCATCATAATATATGGAAACATTATAATGTTAAACACGTTTTAAAGAACGCATCTTTCTGATCTCCTCAAAAAAGCAATGGTAGTGTCAGTATATAAGAAGGGTAACAATGATGACCCATCCAACTATATGTATGCAATGATCCCGAGTTATCTATCCAATAGAAAGCAGAGTGTGCAGAGGGTAGAATGATGTCGTCAGAGGGAACTATAAATATTGACATCTCAATATTCACCCCAAGGGACAATATTGGAACCACTTTTATTTCTAATCTATAATAATGATCTTCTACAGACATACCTTACCAGTTCATTTATTCTTTTTGCTGATGGCACTACTATTACCTGCAAATATCATGATCTTAATACAGCCATAGAAACATCAAAACGAGCACAAGTTAATGCAGAACAGTGGTTTGCAGCAAATAAATTGCTTCTAAACCTTCTGGGAATGCAGACAAATAAATAAAAATTTTGGGGCTTACTTGGATGCAGAACTGTGTTAGAAAGCTCATACAAAGTCCCTTGTTGCTAAATTCGGATCTGCAACTTTTCTGATCAGAAGACTTTCAGAATGTGTATCTCAATTCCCTCTACTAACATAAGCCTATTTTGCACTGTGTCATTCACACATCAGCTATGTAATTTTGACATGGGGTCAGAGTGCTGGAGCCAAATATGTCTTTCGCATCCAGAGAAGAGTGGTAAGGATAATTCCTGGCTTGTCCTATCAGAAAGAATTTCGGCAAGCATTTGTTACACTACACATACTAAACTCACCTTCACTATTTATTCTAGAGAGTATTGTTCATGTAAAACAAAATACAGATCGTCATCAAAGACATGAAAATGTACATCAATATGAAACTAGGAAACCAGGAATAAGCATGCTTTAATGCTATGCTACGCCAGGCTCCAAAGTAGAGACAGATCAAACTCTTATGGTATAAAATTTTACAACAAGCTGCCTTCTGCAATTACTAAATTACCAAATTTACAATTACAAAAAAAAAACAATCAAGAACTGTCTCAGTATTAATAATATAATATAATGTATGTTAATATTTGGTACTGGGTTGTGGATTGATGAATCCTATTCTGTATATAACTGGAAACCCAGAGTGTAATGTTTGTCTTAACTAATGTATGCATTATTTTATATTATGCCTGCTTTTTATAAAATATTAGGGATGTTATACAGTAATACCCCGACTTACGCTACCTCGACTTACGCGAATTCGGAGTTACGCGATTCATTTTCTCGTCTATTCGTTTTTTATTTGAACGCCGCTCAGTCACGGCCAAGCACCGGCGTTTGTTTCTGACTCCCTCCTCCCGCATTAAGGTCGATTCAGACACATCAGTCCCGTCATAGTCTCGGCGCCGAACCGGTCCTGTTTGGACACAGAACTATCAACTATCTGACAGCTGGGAAACTGTTCGTCGCCTGATGAATGTGAATGCCGGCGCCATATTTCTATTAAAGAATATTTTGACGGATTGTTCGGTTCGGCGCCAGAACTGTGACGAGACGTGACTGACGTGTCTGAATCGACCTTTATTATTCTTTCAGTTTACAACACGCACAGACGTGTAGTGCGGAATCGGCGCGTAGTTACATAAGTTACGATTTTGTGCGTTGTGCGACGACCTGAGATATTTACTATAAGTAACTATGGAATCCAACGAAGTAGAACCGACTCTTATGCTTTAAACAAGAAAAGAAAAACATTATCTTTGGAGTGTTAACTTAACATTCTTAAAGACTACGACGCAAAACTAAAAATTTGTGATTTATCGAAGAAGTATGATCTACCGGAATCGAGAGTCAGATCAATTATGAAAAGTAAAGAAAAAATTCTCGAAGCTGTGAAAAACGCTCAGTCTTTGAATTCAAGCATCATTCGTAAACGGCATGGTATTATCGCTGAGATGGCATTGTTAAAATTATGGTGTGATAATCAAGTAAGTGTGAAAAATTGTCCTGTTGATCAGAACACGGTGTGCTTTCAAGCTAAACAAATTTTTGAGAAAATTAAAAGAAGGAGCTGGAGAGATAGCTAGAGATGAAACGTTTAAAGCTAGTAACGGTTGGTTCAGCCGGTTCAAAAGTCGCTGTAATTGGCATAGCATTGCAAAAGTGGAGAGGCGGCAAGTGCAGATAAAGAGGCTGCATCTCTCTATCCAGAGAAACTCAAAGCTATGATAGATGAAGGTGGCTATACCAATAAAACCATATTCAACGTAGATGAAACTGGCCTGTTTTGGAAGAAGATGCCTAAAAGAACTTTTATTCCGCGTGAAGAGAAAACTTCTCCAGGTTTTAAGGCCGCCAAAGATCGATTGACAGTGATGCTTGGTGCGAATGCAGCAGGTGACATTAAATTAAAACCTCTTTTAGTTTATCGCTCAGAAAATCCAAGAGCATTGAAAAACAAATCTAAAGCTGGTTTACCCGTGATTTGGAAGTCGAATCGTAAAGCTTGGGTGACGGCCTCCCTTTTTGAAGACTGGTTTGGTCATCACTTCATACCTGAAGTCGAACGTTATTGCCAGTCTAAACAAATTCCTTTTAAAGTTATGCTATTAATCGACAACGCGCCAGCGTCATCCTCCTGCTACTTTAACTAGTTTCGACCCACGTGTGAAAGTTGAGTTTTTGCAACCAAATACAACCAGTTTGCTTCAACCGATGGACCAGGGAGTTATCAAAACATTCAAAGCTTATTACACGAGACGATCGTTTGCACATCTGCATAAAGCTATGAGACAAAACAACGAGCTCTCTGAATTTTGGAAACAATTCAACGTTTTAGAAGCAGTGAGAATCATTGGAGAATCTTGGGATGAAATTTCACAAAAAAACTTTAACTGGCGTCTGGAAAAAAACTCTGTCCATTTTTTTTCTCCACTGAGACTCAGGCGGAATCAGTGCCAGGGCCTGAAATTTGCAATGTGATCAAAGACGTTGTCGAACTTGGTAGACAAATAAATTTAGAAGTGGATAGTGATGATGTTCGAGAGCTGTTGGATTCACACAATGAGGAGCTTACAATTGATGAGCTCATAACAATGCGTGTACAAGAGGAAGAAATTAATAATCATGATTCTTTAGACCCAGTTCAATTAGAAGATCAAATGACAGTTGGAAACTTGACAGAAGCCCTCAGTTCGATTGAAAAAGGGTTAACAATTTTGGAAAGCATAGACTCCAATGAAGAGCGCATTTTTGTTACAAAACATAGAATAAAAAAATTACTAGGATGCTACGAGGAGATATTACGGGAGAAGAAAAAATCATTGACTCGTCAGACGACTTTGTTAGAATTTATGAAACCTTCTACATCAAAATAACTTCGGATTGTGTTTATACACTTTATTAATTTAGTTTGTCATATTATCTAGAATTAGATTGTACTAATTATCTCCTAAATTACTGTTTTATTTAGTCTCCAGTCCCACTTAAACATACTTTGTATGTCTTTATATGCAAAATTGTACCCCGACTTACGCGAATTCGACTTACGCGGATAGCGCTCAGTCCCACCTATCGCGTAAGTCCGGGGTATTACTGTACTTTCTACTCATATTTGGGAACCAATATTTTATACTATTGTTTGACGTATGTAAGTACTTTATTGTATATTACCATGAATAAATAACTC